TCAGACTTCAGAAGGTGGGTAATGAGAAACTTCTGTGAGCTAAAATAACATGTTTTAAATAAATGCAAAGAAACTAAGAACCTTGAAAAAAGATTTGAAAAAAGATTCAAGGAAATGACAATAAGAATGGATAACTTAGAGAGGAATATGAATGAATTGAAGGAGCTGAAAAACACAACATGAGAACTTCGTGAAGCATGCACAAGTTTCAACGGCTGAATGGACCAAGCAGAAGAAAGAATATCAGAAGTCGAAGATCAACTCAATGAAATAAAACGAGAAACCAAGATTAGAGAAAAAAACACAAAAAGGAATGAACAAAGTCTCCAAGAAATGTGGGACTATGTGAAAAGACCTAACCTACGTTTGATAGGTGTACCAGAATGTGACAAAAAGAATGAATCCAAGCTGGAAAATACTCTTCAGGATATTATCCAGGAAAATTTCCCCCACCTAGCAAGGCAGGCCAACACTCAAATGCAGGAAATACAGAGAACACCACAAAGATATTCCGCAAGAAGAGCAACCCCAAGGCACATAATCGTCAGATTCACCAGGGTTGAAATGAAGGAGAAAATACTAAGGGCAGCCAGAGAGAAAGGTCGGGTCACCCACAAAGGGAAGCCCATCAGACTCACAGCAGATCCCTCGGCAGAAACTCTACAAGCCAGAAGAGAGTGGGGGCCAATATTCAACATCCTTAAAGAAAAGAACTTGCAACCCAGAATTTCATATCCAGCCAAACTGAGCTTCATAAGTGAAGGAAAAATAAAATCCTTTGCGAACAAGCAAGTACTCAGAGATTTTGTCCCCACCAGGCCTGCTTCACAAGAGCTCCTGAAAGAGGCACTACACATAGAAAGGAACAACCAGTACCAGCCATTCCAAAATCACACTAAATGCTAAACAGCATCAACAAAATGAAGAATCTACATCAACTAATGGGCAAAACAGCCAGCTAGCATCAAAATGGCAGTATCAAATTCATACATAACAATATTAACCCTAAATGTAAATGGGCTAAATGCACCAATCAGAACACACAGACTGGCAAATTGGATAAAAAACCAAATACCATCAGTGTGCTGTATCCAGGAAACCCGTCTCACATGCAAGGATACACAAAGGCTCAAAATAAAGGGATGGAGGAAGATTTACCAAGCAAATGGAGAGCCAAAAAAAAAAAAAGTAGGAGTTGCAATTGTCATCTCTGATAAAATAGACTTTAAAGCAACAAAGATCAAAAGAGACAAAGAAGGTCATTACATAATGGTAAAAGGATCAATACAACAAGAAGAGCTAACGATCCTAAATATATATGGACCCAATACAGGAGCACCCAGATATATAAGGCAAGTTCTTAATGACTTACAAAGAGACTTAGACTCCCACACAATAATAGTGGGAGACTTTAACACTCCACTGTCAATATTAGACAGATCAACCAGACAGAAAATTAACAAGGATATCCAGGGCTTGAACTCAGACCCGGAACAAGCAAGCAAACCTGAGAGACATTTACAGAACTCTCCAACCCAAATCAACAGAATATACATTCTTCTCAGCACCACATCAAACCTACTCTAAAATTGACCACATGATTGGAAGTAAAGCACTCCTCAGCAAATGCAAAACAACTGAAATCATAACAAACAGTCTCTCAGACCATAGTGCAATCAAGTTAGAACTCAGAATTCAGAAAGTAACCCAGAACCGCACAGCTTCATGGAAAATGAACAACTGGCTCTTGAATGTTGACTGGATAAACAATGAAATGATGGCAGAAATAAAGAAGTTCTTCGAAACCAATGAGAGTGAAGACACAACATGCCAGAATCTCTGGGACACATTTAAAGCAGTCTCCAGAGGAAAATATATAGCAATAAGTGCTATATATTAAGTGAGAAGAGTGGAGAGATCCAAAATTAACACCCTATCGTCAAAATTGAAAGAGCTAGAGGAGCAAAATAAAAAAAAAACTCAAAACCTAGCAGAAGACAAGAAATAACTAAGATCAGAGCTGAACTGAAGGAGATAGAGACACGAAAAACCCTTCAAAAAATCAATAAATCCAAGAGCTGGTTTTTTGAAAGGATCTACCAAATAGACAGACAACTAGCCAGACTGATAAAAAAGAAAAGAGAGAACAACCAAATAGATGCAATAAAATACGATAAAGGGGAAATCACCACAGATTCCACAGAAATTCAAACCATCATCAGAGAATATTACAAACAACTCTATGCACATAAACTAGTAAACTTAGAAGAAATGGATAAATTCCTGGACACTTGTGTCCTCCCAAGCCTAAACCAGGAGGAAGTCGAAACTATGAACAGAACAATAAGAAAGTCTGAAGTTGAGGTAGCAATTAAGAGCCTACCACACAAAAAAAACCCAGGTTCAGATGGGTTCACAGCCGAATTCTACCAGACACACAAAGAGGAGCTGGTACCATTCCTTCTGAAACTATTCCAAATAATCCAAAAAGAGGGAATCCTTTCCAAATCATTTTATGTGACCAACATCATCCTGATACCAAAACCCGGCAGAGACTCAACAAGAAAAGAAAACTTCAGGCCAATATTTATGATGAACATAGATGCAAAAATCTTCAATAAAATATTGGCAAGCGGATTGCAACAGCACATCAAAAAACTTACCCATCATGATCAAGTAGGATTCATCCTGGGGATGCAAGGCTGGTTCAGCATACGCAAGTCTATAAGCGTAATTCACCACATAAACAGAACCAAAAACAAAAACCACATGATTATCTCAATTGATGCAGAGAAGGCATTTGACAAAATTCAACAGCCCTTTATGCTAAAAACCCTCAATAAACTCGGTATTGATGGAACATATCTCAAAGTAATAAAAGCTATTTACGACAAACCAACAGCCAATATCATACTGAATGGGCAAAAACTGGAAGCATTCCCTTTGAAATCTGGCACTAGACAAGGATGCCCTCTTTCACCACTCCTATTCAATATAGTACTGGAAGTTCTAGCCAGAGCAATCAGGCAAGAAAAAGAAATAAAGGGTATTCAGATAGGAAGGGAGGAAGCCAAATTGTCTCTATTTGCAGACAACATGATAGTATACCTAGAAGACCCCATCACCTCAGCCCAAAAACTCCTGAAACTGATAGGCAACTTCAGCAAAGTCTGAGGTTATGAAATCAATGTGACACCAATAACAGACTTAAGGAAAGCCAAATCAAGAATTAACTGCCATTCACAATTGCTACAAAAACAATAAAATACCTAGGAATACAACTCACAAGGAACGTAAGGGACCTCTTCAAGGAAAACTACAAACCACTGCTCAACGAAATAAGAGAGGACACAAACAGATGGAGAAACATTCCATGTTCATGGTTAGGAAGAATCAATATCGTGAAAATGGCTATAGTGCCCAAAGTAATTTATAGACTCAGCGCTATTCCCATCAAGCTACCATTGACTTTTTTCACAGAACTGGAAAAAACCACCATGAACTTCATATGGAACCAAAAGAGAGCCTGCATAGCCAAGTCAATTCTAAGCAAAAGGAACACAGTGGGAGGCTTCACACTACCGGACTTCAAACTATACTACAAGGCTACAGTAATCAAAACAGCATGGTACTGGTACCAAAACAGAGATATAGACCAATGGAACAAAACAGAGGCATCGGAGGCAACACAACATATCTACAACCATACAATCTTGGATAAACCTGACAAAAACAAGCAATGGGGAAAGGATTCCCTGTTTAATAAATGGTGTTGGGAAAACTGGCTAGCCATGTGCAGAAAGCAGAAACTGGACCCCTTCCTGACACCTTACACTAATATTAACTCCAGATGGATTAAAGACTTAAACATAAGACCTGGCACCATAAAAACCCTAGAAGAAAATCTAGGCAAAACCATCCAGGACATAGGAGTAGGCAAGGACTTCATGACCAAAACACCAAAAGCATTGGCAACAAAAGCCAAAATAGACTATTGGGACCTAATGAAACTCCACAGCTTCTGCACGGCAAAAGAAACAGTCACTAGAGTGAATCGGCAACCAACACAATGGGAAAAAATTTTTGCAGTTTACCCATCTGACAAAGGGCTGATATCCAGAATTTACAAAGAACTCATACAGATTTACAAGAAAAAAACAAACAAGCCCATTCAAAAATGGGCAAAGGATATGAACAGACACTTTACAAAAGAAGACATACATGAGGCCAACAAACATGAAAAAATGCTCATCGTCACTGGTCATCAGAGAGATGCAAATCAAAACCACATTGAGATACCATCTCACGCCAGTTAGAATGGTGATCATTAAAAAATCTGGAGACCAAAGATGCTGGAGAGGATGTGGAGAAATAGGAACACTTTTACACTGTTGGTGGGAGTGTAAATTAGTTCAACCATTGTGGAAGACAGAGTGGTGATTCCTCAAGGCCTTAGAAATAGAAATTCCATTTGACCCAGGAATCCCATTACTGGGTATATATCCAAAAGACTATAAATCGTTCTACTATAAGGACACATGCACACGAATGTTCATTGCAGCACTGTTTACCATAGCAAAGACCTGGAACCAACCAAAATGCCCATCGATGATAGACTGGACTGGGAAAATGTGGCACATATACACCATGGAATATTATGCAGCAATAAAAAACGATGAGTTCGTGTCCTTTGTAGGGACATGGATGAATCTGGAGAACGTCATTCTCAGCAAACTGACACAAGAACAGAAAATGAAATACCACGTATTCTCACTCATAGGCGGGTGATGAACAATGAGAACACATGGACACAGGGAGGGGAGCACTACACACTGGGGTCTATTGGGGGGAATAGGGGAGGGACAGCGCAGGGGGAGCTGGGGCGGGATAGCCTAGGGAGAAGTGCCAAATGTGGGTGAAAGGGAGGAAGGCAGCAAAACACACTGCCATGTGTGTACCTATGCAACTATCTTGCATGTTCTGCACATGTACCCCAAAACCTAAAATACAATAAATAAAAGGAATTGCAACAAATGATATACGAAATAATGCTCATAGCATTTATTCATAATAGCTCCGAAATAGACTGGCTTAGTATATATCAACTAAGGATGATGGAATTATATGAATGATTGCATTAAATTCATACAGCAGAATAACATAGGTGAAAAAAATGAATCACATGTACATGCAATTATATAACTAAATTTCAGAAACATGATGTCAAGTGCAAGCAGCCATGAACAAGAAGAACATACAGAATTGCACCTATACACAATTCAAAGCAGGACACGCTAAGCTATGGAGTTTAGGGTTGCAAACCTAGTTGGTAAAGTATAAAGAAAAATTAAGAAAATGATCATCATAAATTACCAATATTATTCATCTCAGGAGATATGAAGAAAGGTTTAGCAGCTTGGAAAGTGGAATGGAGGGAGACCTAGACTGTTGGCAGTGTTTCATGTCTTACCTTGCATGATGGTTACATGCATGTTTGTGATACATTGCTCTTTCATATTTTTGTTTTGGCCCATTTCTAAGTGTACATTATAATTTGATTTAAAAAATTACAAATTAGGATAACTGTTAAGTAAAAATTATTAATTTCTCTGCTCATTATATATCTAGGGGAAAAATCCACCATTTACATACATTCTTATTCAGCTCAAGAGAGTTAAAGTAGATTCTTATTTTAGTTGTGAAATGTAGAAATTTGAGATACTGTTACCTACAGCCCCCAGATCTTTCCAAAAGTTTTCTTCTAGTCTTAAATATTCACCTCATATTACAAAAACGTTGATATTTCTAATCTGTTTTCCTTTGGTTCCTGAATTTCCGACACAACAAGGGTGCACATATTTCTCACACTCTTGGTTTAGCAGAGTACCGATATCAGTTTTTCTGCAAAAGAATCTTCTCCAAAACCATATTAGATATTTATATCTCACATGTTTTTGGGTTCTGTTTTCTTAAGCTATGGCTTGGTGACTGGCTCTGGTGATGTGAGATGGTCCAAGTTTTGCTTCTTGGATCTAGTTAGAGTCTGGCCTATTTAAGGCTGGATCAGGCAGGGGCGATGTGACTCCATTAGTTACTGTTTGCTTTTCATTGCAAAGCAGTGAAAGAAGATATGTCTTTATTTGCATGCTAGCCAATGAAAATTCAGCTTTCCCTTCAACATCAGTACGAAAAATTTCAGCCTATGGCAAGAACAGAGGCTCTATGAATAAGAATTAATTTGAGCTGTTTTGGGACTAACAATATTTTTCCATAAAGGCAGCATTGAACTCATTCATTGGTTTAAGCTGGTGCTTTCCTGTTGACATTGTTCACAGAATTTAAAAGTATAAAGAATGTTATTGAACATTCAGGAATCAAGTGCATGTTGAATTTAAGGCCTGGATATCAGAGGAGTCACAACCAGTGATATTAGGCCTGAATTTTTTTTCTTGTTTAGACATGATGAATTTTCTCCTCCTTGTTTTTTCCATTCTAGTAGTGGTTGCATTTGTCCTCGGAAATTTTGCCAATGGCTTCATAGCACTAGTAAATTTCGTTGCCTGGGTTAAGAGACAAAAGATCTCCCCAGCTGATCAAATTCTTGCTGCTCTGGCAGTCTCCAGAGTTGGTTTGCTCTGGGTAATATTATTAAATTGGTATTCAACTGTTTTCAATCCAGCTTCATCTAGTTTAAAAGTAAGAGTTTTTATTTCTAATGCCTGGGCAGTAACCAACCATTTCAGCATCTGGCTTGCTACTGGCCTCAGCATATTTTATTTGCTCAAGATTGCCAATTTCTCCAGACTTATTTTTTATCACTTAAAAAGGAAGGCTCAAAGTGTAGTTCTGGTGATAGTGTTGGGAGCTTTGTTATTTTTGATTTGTCATCTTGTGATGGAAAACATGGATATGGATGTGTGGGCAAAAGAATATGAAGGAAATGTAACTTGGAAGATCAAATTAAGTAACGTAATGCGCCTTTCCAACTTGACTGTGGCCACACTTGCAAACGTGATACCCTTCACTCTGACCCTGATATCTTTTCTGCTGCTAACCTGTTCTCTGTGTAAACATCTCAAGAAGATGCAGCTCCATGACAAAGGATCTCAAGATCCCAGCACCAAGGTCCACATAAAAGCTCTGCAAACTGTGATCTCCTTCCTCGTGTTACTTGCCATTTACTTTCTGTGTCTAATCGCATCATTTTGGAAATCTAATTTGCAACAGAAAGAATTTGTTATGCTTTGCCAAACTGTCGGAATCATATATCCATCATTCCATTCATTCATTCTGATTTGGGGGAGCAAGAAGCTAAAGCAGACCTTTCTTTCAGTTTTGTGGCAGGTGACTTGCTGGGTGAAAGAACAGAAACCATCAACTCCATAGATTCACAAGAGGTGCATTGTGTGTTTTCTAGCAGAAAACAAATTGATGGTGTCTGGAACATTTTATATTTCCTACAAGTTTTTCTATAGTCTATGTATTTGAGTAATTTCCAAAAGTAGACTTAGAAAAGTCTTTTACCTAAATTTATTACATAAATATGTGTGTGTGTGTGTGTGTGTTTATGTCTGAATGTGTATGAAAACTTAACTTTGACCATAGCATACCTTTAGCCAATTTTTTAAGTAAACTGCTCAGTTACACAAAAGTAGAATTTTGAACCCATGTGTATTTCACACATATATGTTATTTTATGATATTTCATTTGAGGAATTTATGATATGTATAATTAGAAACTGACAGCTTATATCAGAAAATCATTGCTATTTTCATTGTAATTTGGATCATGTATATGTATCATAGTGTCATTAACTATCATTGTTTGAACCTCTAATATTTTGAATGGTAAAGACATTCAGTACTAAATCAATGATGAGAATGTGTCTTTGAGGTAGGTTTTTTTTTTCATGAATTCTTTTTCCCCCTTTTTTTTGAGATGGAGTCTTGCTCTGTTGTCCAGGCTGGAGTGCAGTGGCTTGATCTTGGCTCATTGTAATCTCTACCTCCCGTGTTCAAGTGATTCTCATGCCTCAGCCTCCCAAGTAGCTGGGACTCCAGGCATGCACTAGCATGCCCAGCAAATTTTTTTGTTTTTTGTTTTTTTTTTTTTTAGTAGAGATGTTAGCCAAGTTGGTCTCTAACTCGACCTCAAGTGATCCACCACCTCAGCCTCCCAAAGTGCTGGAATTACAGGCATTCATCATGAATTCTTATCTTATGTTTAGTATAAAGCAGATACAATTATTGTTAGATAACGATTCACAAAATAAAATTCAATTGTGAAAAATAAATTCAGTGTACATTTTGTTTATGTGTACCAACAGCAGTACTGAGGAATATTAGATTTGATACAGTATGTGAATAGCTTAGAAAAAAATCATTTATATAAAAAGGATGAAGAAACACGATCATGAGCTCTTTTTAGTGCTGTTTTAAGTTTCCATATGCTACTAGAAAAGTCATTTTTCCAGTTTTTGAATTGAATAAAAACTTTTTTGAGGTTGAGATTTGATGTTAAATATTTTAGTTTTTTGTCTAAGCCACCTCTGAGCTCCTGAATTGACAATTTCTGAATTGACAAAAAGCTCAAATTTTCCTTATCTTAAAAAGAAGCTCAATCTAAAGAGGGCATAGACGCTATGGTATCTATGAAATCTATATGTGGATGATAGGAAATGTCTTAAAGATATGTTTTATTATAATATTGGTGTAAATGATGAAATGAGAGAAAGTGTTGGTATATTCACTAATAGCAAGTTCTATGATAAGAATAAAATGTATAACTTAGTTCAACAGCTAAATTCTGTGTGACTGTATCAATTTCTGGTGTTATGAAATTTTAACAATATTATCTAAATCTTAAGATAAATCATCTCCACATCTGATTTATCATGTATCTTCCCTGGTACAGTGTAAGCACCATAAAAGTGGAGATCATATAGTTCTTGCTTACCGTAGACCCCCAGGACATAAAAACAGTGCATAGAATAGGTATTCAAAATGACATTTTGATGAACACTAATTGGTGAAGGAATGAACACATGAACTATATTGGGGTGGTGAACCAGTGAAAATGAAACACATCACAAAATCTACAGTTGCATAAATATTCCTGCTCTGGTTTCAGATTGAGGTTACAGGATTATCCAAGAATTTCTCAGAACAAAAGTTTGGCTATTCCACAATTCTAGGGAAAATATCACTATAATATAGCATTGATGCAGCTATATCAGATGTGTGACACAAGACAAGGTGGAAAATAAAATTAGATGGCATTTATTACAATACTTTTTACTAAGCACATTAAAGATTTGTATATATATATGCACCTATCTTTTCTATCGTGAACAATATATTTGTATTGCGATATTTCTAGCTGGTTACTATATAAACAAAAATGGCATTTCATTAAAAAAATTTAGTTACCAACTATCTTACTCAAATGTGATTTTTATATATAATATTTTTAATATACTTTATACATTATGATTTTAATCAACATATTATAAACTCATAGAAAAGTGAATGCATAATAGCTATAACACTGAATATCTTAGCCTCAGGAGTCTAGAACGAGATCCAATGTCTGATATTAAAATGATGACATTTATTTGGAATGTAAGTCTAGGGCAGCAATGGCTGGGACATGTGGAAATTGAGGCAAGAGAAGATATGAAACCATGTGTTGTGATGTATGATATGACTTTGCTGACGACCACTTTGCAATGAGGTGAGAGAGACAGCGTGCTAATTATCAGATGTGGGTACTTGGCTCCCAGTATTTTTTCAGAAGGGCTGAGAGGGGAAAACAGCCAGCACTAGTCCGTGGAAGAGAGAGATTGTGTCTATTCGGCTGTCTTCTGTCTTCTATTTCCCGTTGGCCAGGATTTACCTGAGGCAGAACTACCATCTCTGCTGTTCTGCCTTCCATCGTCCATTCCCTTGGTGGCTGCTATGAAAGTCAAACCTCATGCCCACAGTGTGGTGATCCATTCAAGTCCCAAATGGAAGGATGATCTGGATCAGGCAAAGTACTGACCAGGAGACAGTCAGCTGAATCTGAGGAAGCACATGTTTGTGTCCAATGCCATCCACTCCTTGTGCCACTCAGATTTGCTCATGCTCTCCAATCATGGCTGGTTTTATGAGCATAAAATTTCTACTGTTGCACTGGGTCTTGTGCTTAGAGGCACATGGGCTTAGAAGAGCTTCATGCTTGGATTAATCTTCTGCTCCTGCTGTTTTGTATTTCAGACAGAGGGCACTCCTCTGCTGAAGAGGGAATGGTCTTGCACTAATTCCCTGGGGGTTTGCTCTCCCCTCTCCTATGGGCTGGTGAGAGACATGCACAGAGTCCCATAATGCCCACTATGCATGCCTCGAGCAGGATTGAATTCTGCTGGATTATCTGGCCTAATGAGCAGAGCAGCTTGGACCGGAACCTCATTAGCTAGAGGCATTTTTTGTTCTCATTCTACTTGAAACCAGTAGCCTTTGGAAACTTCATTAGTGATTCAGAGCAATATCCTCAAATGTGGAATATGTTGACTCCCAAAATCCAGGAAGCCCAACAAATATTGTATCTAATTTTTAGTGATGGAAAATAGATGTATAGAGAGCAACATGCTGTTTACTTTAAAAAGGATGTTTCAGCATGTTTACTAGGAGCACTGGACCCCTCTAATTATCATCTACGTTATAGGTCACTGAAACTTCTTGTTCATCTTTCTTCTTCTGATATTTTGCTTCTGTTCAACATTATAGTACTTTACTATATTGAAGAAACTCACCACTTCCTGCTTATGGGTACCAATTAATGCAATTTCTTAATATATTGAATTAGCATGATGTTTTCCAAAATGCCAGTTAAACTGAAAAAGAAGTGACACAGCCCTGACATAAAACAGTGAAGCAGTGCGTTTGTTCTTACCACATCAAAACAAATCATTTTTATTTTCTCTCACAATGGGTGTAGATGAAAAAGCATCTACTAAATAAAAAGCCTCATATAAGAGCCAGAAACCATGTTTTCTCAGTGAAGATACCACATCCTAGAGAGCATCTGCAAGTACAATTTAAGTTTTTGCTAATGTGCATTTATCCTATAATTCATCTGGTTTTGGCAGAGGCCAGATAGGTTAACTGAATAAGGAAAAGGAAGATGGACAACTACCCTCTGAAACTTTCTAATACTTTTTTTTGTCGTGTTGGTGACCACTTATGTTCCTTGGAGAATGGGGTTATTATGTTTTACTCATTTTCTTGCCAGAAGAGAATTTCAGAGGACTGTTTTTACTGCTACTTACAATAATGTCCCTTAATATACAGGGCTGGAAGCAATGTGATTGTTCTGCTAGCTGTTGGAACTGTTAATTTCAATTAACATTTAGGAAGAGATAGCAAATATAAACCCATTATATCCACCTTAGGATGAACATGAGCCAAAGCTTTATGCAGCATCTGACTTTCAAACTCACACTCCAGGACTAGTGAGGCAGCTCACACCTGTAATCCAAAGAATTTGGGAGGCTGAGGTGGAAGGAGCACTGAGGCCAGGAGTTCCAGATCAGCCTGGGCAAGAGAGCAAGACCCCATTTGTTGAAGAAAATTAGCTCATTGTGGTAGTGTGTGCCTGTAGTTCCAGTACCCAGGAGCTTCTGGCAGGGGGATCACATTAGCTCAAGAATTTGATGATTGTGCCATTGCATTCCAGCCTGGGCAACCAAACAAGACTGTCTCTAAAAATGAACAAATGAAAAAACCAAACAACCAGAAAACAAAGGCTTCCACTCCATTATGTGAAACACAGTGTCATATATATGTGTGTGTGTGTGTGTGTGTGTGTGTGTGTGTTTGTTATACTTTAAGTTCTGGAGTACATGTGCAGATCTTTCAGGATTGTTAAATAGGTATACACATGCCATGGTGGTTTGCTGCCTCCATTCCCCCGTCACCTAGATTAGGTATTTCTTCCAAAGTTATCCCTCCCCAATCTCCCAACCACCTACTATCCTTCCCCTAGGCACCCACCCTCCAACAGACCCCAGTGTGTGATTCCTCTCCCTGTGTCCATGTATTCTCATTGTTCAGAATCCACCTAGGAGTGAGAATATGCAATGTTTGGTTTTCTGTTCTTGTGTCAGTTTGCTGAGAATGATGGTTTCCAGCTTCATCAATGTCCCTGCAAAGGTCATGAACTCATCCTTTTTTATGGCTGCTTAGTATTCCATGGTGTGTATGTGCCACATTTTCTTATTCAGTCTACAATTTATGGGTCTTTGGGTTTGTTCCAAGTCTTTGCTATCATAAACAGTGTCTCAGTGAACATACATGTGCATATGTCTTCATAATCCTTTGGATATATACCCCAAACTATTTATAATCCTTTGGGTATATACCCAATAATGGGATTGCTGGGTCAAGTGGTATTTCTATTTCTAGGTCCTTGAGGAATCACCACTCTGTCTTCCACAATGGTTGAAGTAATTTACACTCCCATCAACAGTGTAAAAGCCTTCCTATTTCTCCACATCCTCTCCAGCATTATATTGTCTCCAGATTTTTTAATGATCACCATTCTAACTGCTGTAAGATGGTATCTCATTGTGGTTTTGATTTGCATTTCTCTAATGATAAGTGATGATGAGCATTTTTTCATATGTTTGTTGGCCACATAAATATCTTTTTTTGAAGTGTCTGTTTATATCCTTCACTTGGTATTTGATGGGGTTGTTTGTTTTTTCTTGTAAATTTGTTTTAGTTCTTTATAGATTCTGGATATTAGTTCTTTGTCAGATAGGTAGCTTGCAAAAATTTTTTCCCATTTTTTTGGTTGCCAGTTCACCCTAATGATTGTTTCTTTTGCTTTACAGAATCTCTTTTTAATTAGATCCCATTTGTCTATTTTGACTTTTGTTGCCTATGCTTTTGGCATTATAGTCATGAAGTCCTTGCCTAGGCTATTGCCTAGGTTTTCTTCTAGGGTTTTTATTATGTTAGGTCTTATGTTTAAGTCTTTAATCCATCTGGAGTTAATTTTTGTATAAGGTGTAAGGAAGGGGTCAAGTTTCAGCTTTCTGCAAATGGTTAGCTAGTTTTCCCAATACCATTTATTAAACAGGGAATCCTCTTCCCATTGCTTTTTTTTTGGTCAACTTGGTCAAAGATCAGATAAGTGTAGATGTGTGGCATTGCCTCCAAGGCCTCTGTTCTGTTCCATTGGTCTATATCTCTGTTTTGGTACGAGTACCATGCTGTTTTGATTACTGTAGCCTTGTAGTATAGTTTGAAATCAGGTAGCATGATGTCACCAGCTTTGCTCTTTTTGCTTAGGATTGTTACAGATATTGGCTATGCAGGCTTTCTTTTGGTTCCAAAGTTTAAGATTTTTTTTTCCAGTTCTGTGAAGAAGGTCAATGGTAGCTTGATGGGGATAGTGTTGAATCTATAAATTACTTTGGGCAGTATGGCCATTATCACGATATTAATCTTCCTAATCATGAGCATGGAATGTTTTTCCATCTGTTTGTGTCATCTCTTATGCCCTTGAGCAATGGTTGGTAGTTCTCCTTGAAGAGGTCCTTCACGTCCTTTGTTAGTTATATTCCTAGGTATTTTATTCTCTTTGTGGCAATTGTAAATGGGAGTTCACTCATAATTTGATTCTCTTTAAGTTTGTTATTGGTGTATAGGAATGCTTGTGATTTTTTCACATTGATTTTGTATCCTGAGACTTTGCTGAAGTTGCTTATCAGTTTAAGGAGATTTTGGGCTGAGATGATGGGATCTTCTAAATATACAATCATATTGTCTGCAAATGGAGACAATTTGACTACCTGTTTTCCTAACTGAATCCCCTTTATTTTTTTTTCCCTTTCTTGACTGACTGCTCTGGCCAGAACTTCCAATACGATGTTGAATAGGAATGGTGAGATAGAGCACCCTTGTCTAGTGTCAGTTTTCAAAGGAAATCCTTCCAGTTTTTGCCCATTTAGTGTGATATTGGCTATGGATTTGTTGTAAACAGCTTTTATTAAGATATGTTATGTCAATACCTAGTTTACTGAGAGTTTTTAGCATAAAGGGCTCTTGAATTTTGTCAAAGGCCTTTTTTGCATCTTTTGAGATAATAATGTGGTTTTTGTCTTTGTTTCTGTTTATGTGGTGGATTGCATTTATAGATTTGTGTATGTTGGACCAGACTTGCATGCCCGGGATGAAGCCCACTTGATCATGATGTATAAGCTTTTTGATGTGCTGTTGCATTTGGCTTGCCAGTATTTTATTGAAGATTTTTGCATTGATGTTCAACATAGATAT